AATGCCCGGGGCAGGGGAGAGCTGGCACACATGCTAAGGAGCGGGAAGGGGCGATTGACACTTCCAAGCAGAAATGTCACAAAAGCAGAAACGATGGCATTTAAATTCCAGTCTTCCAGCCAAACAGCCTCCCCCTGGGGCTGATAAGACACAGGACAATGCCCCTGCCCCCAAGAGTCTCTCACCAGGCAGGGCTCTTCTGTCCTTGGCCTTAGTGGGGGTTGTCTCCTTTCTCCCAAAGCTGAAAGGAGGGAGCTGTGGGATGGCAGTGGGTAAGGAACTGGTGGCAAAACAGCCATCAGAGGCTAGCAAAATGTCCCAGCCGGGCCCCCAGGCTGCAGGGACAGCCCTGGCAAACTGCTGACTCACCCTGCCTCTGAGAGAGGGGTACCTGGTGTCTGGGGGAGGAACTGTGGAGTCCCTGCTGGCCACGGGTGGCCATAAGATCTACTTGAACCCTGATCATTCCCCCGCGACAGACCTGTCTCTGTTGGCTCAGAATTGAATGAAGGTAGTGTTTGAGTTGGCACCTTACACAGTTAGGGGAGGAACATGAAACCGGCTCTCAGCCCTTGAGCCTAGGTTTTTACTGACCACCTTTGTTTAAGCATCAGGGAGAGTCAAAGAGTTTTTTTCTTTTACCACTTTTCTCCTTAACTTAAAAAGGGGAAAGCGAGGTTTGGTTAACTGCATCTCTCCCCTGGTCTCCACTCGCATTACAGACAAGGGTTGAAGACCTGATGTCACCGAGGAAGAGTCCCTGGGAATCTCTTTCCCTCTCTGTTTTCTTTGCCCATGCCGCAGCCAAAACCGCACGGCTCTCCCTAAAAAAATCCCAGGGAACATCCCTCCTGATGAAAAGAACAGAGACTGAGGCCCACCAGCACCATTGGCTGCTGGCACCTCCCAGCCAGGGCCGAGGCACCCGCTCACTGGCTTCTCCAAATGCAGTAAACGCAGTCACTTGTTCCACCAAGCCCATAGGTGGTGCCAAAGAAAGGGCCCTGGTCGTGGGTTCTCATCCCAGCTTTGTCACCAGCTGGCTATGTGACCTCAAGCAAGTTGTTTTCCCTTCACTGGAGCTGAAGTTTCTCATCTGGAAGGTGACACGGTTGGATTAGATGCTGAGAAAGGGCCTGGAAGGCTTGGACATGGAGATGAAGCTGACAAGGCTGAACCACAGAACATTTTTCCCAAAACACCATTTCCATTCATTAGCATAGGCAGAAACTCTAGCTGAGACCTTCTCTCTCTAGCTCTTTCTGCATCTGTTTTTAAGCATCAACTCAGCAGAGGCACATGGATGCCCGACAGAGCCTGAAAAGCATAGTTTCTTCCGTGAGTCAGGCAGGTCCCAGAGCCAGAGCTACGTCCAGGAAACACTTCTCCTATGAGGAAACACCTCAAATGCCAGCAAGAGCGCCATCAAGATGAGTCTAGTCACAAGGTCTGATGAGGCCTGAGCAACCTTGGAGCCCCAAGACTGGATGGGGCAATAAAAGGAAAGACATTTTGGAGCAAAGCGGATGCAAGAGGGGGATGGAAAAGCAGCCTCCAGGAACCCAAGCTGCCTGTCCCATGGTCCAGAGGGGCAAAGGGAGACTGGCCTGTCCTTGTTCTCCCCCTCCCTCTCAGCCCTGGGACTTCACGGGGGCTGGTCTGGAAGCCAGAATGACCGGAATGAACTTTCTAGATGTGGTGAGGCAGGACCCAGAGGGAGGGACATTTCAGATCCTGCCCAGAGCATCCCCATTAGCAAACAGAGGGTAGAGGCCACTTCTCAGGTCTGTTTCTTAGGGGGCCCACCTGCGCCTCTCAGTTTCTCTGGACACACCCAGCCATCCTGGCCACTGGCTCAGAGGCAGGGGGCAAAGCCCTCCCAAGAGGTGGGGCCTGCAGGGAGAGCAGCCAGAGTAGCGGGGGAAGGTGGCTGTAAGGTTCTCAAGTAGGACAGAATGGAGACAACCTAAAAACCCAGAGGACCCCCAGACCACGACAAACACAGCACAGCACAACCACCAGGCAGCTGTAAATACCAGCTACCCAGAGGAGCGAGCCAGAACCTGGAACAGTTTTTAAAGAAATGCAGTTTGACCTTTCAAGTTCCTTCAGAAACCCAGCCAACAGAACGCTGCCAGAATCTGCAGGCCTAGCAGTGGGTGCCACTACAGGGATTTTTAATAAAAGCTAAACAGACATTTGCTGACCTTCTAACTAGAATAAATCTTACCGGACTAGTACTTTAAGTAAACACATTTCTAGCATGAGGGAAGAGGTCCACCCAGCCTGTAAATAGGATCCCACAAAGGACACGTGAGTCGGGGATGAAGGATCAAGGTTTTGCTCTAAAAGCAAAAACAACAGGGAAATTGTCACATCAGTCAAAAACAAGCGTCACATTTCTATGTCTTGCCTTGGGAATAGGCCCAGATCCCAACGCAAATAAAGCATTTGGTTGGAAATCCTTGTCCTCTGCTCAATAAAGCAGGTGCCCAGCCTGTGTCACCCTGGCAGCCCCGAGTCACTAAGGCCCCATACACGCTTGGAGCTGTAGCACCGCAAGGGTCTGCTCTTCAGACTCTGTTTAACTTGGAGGATACCTTGCCTTAAACCCCACCACGGCCAGTCAGCAGAAATGACCTGCCGCACTGCAGACTCAGATGGGTGAGAAGGGAGGAGGGGCCGCTTCTCAGAGAGCAAGCTGGCTCAGCCCAGCAAAGGTGGCTCTGGCTGAGGGTGCAGGTGACAGGCAGTGTCTGAACTGCACCCAGCTGGGACCCAGGTTGCAGGAATCCCACCGATGTGACAAATGCCTACGGACTCCTTGTGGCTGGAGAGGGGAAGAGGAGGACTTAGGGATGGGGGGTGGAGGGATCAAGCCCTGCTAGGACCAAAGGGCCTGGTAGCTGGAGAGAGCCCCCCCCCAGAGCACTGGGCCCCCCGCAGAGGCCAGGCACATAAACTGCAGAAGGACACCACCCCTTCCCACACCTAAGATCTACACCCACACATGGCCCAACCAACCTGACCAGTTGTCCCTCACATTTCAGATCCTGCCCAGAGCACCCCCATTAGCAAACAGAGGGTAGAGGCCACCTCTCAGGTCTATTTCTTAGGGGGCCCACCTACCCCTCTCTCGGGCTCCCGCCTAAGTGGGTGGGCTGAAGTAACTCTCTACGTCTCCCACGAACCTCCACCACCAGCAGAGACCTGGATCCCGGCCTAGCCCTGGGCCCTGAGGTTTTCCTCGGCCAAGTGCCCGGGACTTGCTGCTGGCTCTCCCTGAATGCCTTCCCACTCCCATTGCCCACCCCTTCAAGGGAAAAGCGTCTGCTCAGAGGGGAGAGACTGATGGCTTCTCCCACCACCACCACATCAGGAGCCTGTGGGAAATGAGGACGTCCAGGAAGAACCCGGCGCCCGCTCCCGCTTACCCGCAGCCGGGTCTCAGCTTCAACCGGCCTCGTGGCTCAAGATACACAGGCAGCAGGGACAGAGGCAACCTGGGCCTGATGTCAGCAGATGGATAAGAAACTCCCAGCACAGAAGGAAATAGATGTTTGGGAGCTCCAGACATGTGGGAGCAGCAGAACCGACTTCTATCAGGACACCTTCGAGGATGGCTACAAGTCTGGGTTCCTGGAAAAATGGTCCCTCCACCACCACTAAATGCATTTGCTGTGGCTACAGCCTCCTTCCTGCCATGTCCAGGACACAGTGCTGCCCCTGCCTGGGTGCAGCATCCTGCTGTCAGTCTCTGCTGCCCACCTCACCACTCTCTTTACTTCTCTGGACTCTGACTGGTACCCAGATCCCCCCTTGCCCAACTCGCTCCCCTGCAGACAAAACAAGATGACAAATGACCCAGACACACATCACATCAGGAGGTCAGGAGCAGGGGGGCCTGGAGGAAAGAGGCCTTGTCCAGACAGGGGGAGGCGCTGGCAGGGATGGGCAAGGCTGTGGCCAGGTCAGGACACTGGGACAGACAGCTGGTCTGGTGGGCAGGTGGCCAGCGGAGAAGCAGGCCTGTGACACTCAAGAGTAGTGGATGGCACCCCCAAACTGCTGGAATAGGAGCCTTCTCCAAGACAGAATCGGGCTTCCCTGGAAAAAACAAGGAGAAGGGAGATGATGACCAAATAGTAGGTAAAGGAAGAGAGGAGACATATGTGCCCATGGCTACATATGCTTAGGACGGGAGGCTGCCAAATACAAGGGTGCAGACTTTCTACGGCCCGAGAAGTTGGGCATAAACATTGCTTTGGTGAACCAGACATCTGAAGTACATGGTGGGAGTCGGAGTGAGTGTCCACATTCCCATTTACATAGATCAGGGTTACATAATGTGGGCTCAGCTGTGCCCCTCCCCTTGGTTCCAAATGTGACTCACATCCCTGGGAGCCCCATGGCAGGGAGAGGGCTGGGAAGTCGGAAGCGTCTGTAGTAACTGCCCTAGCAGGAGGCCAGGCCTTGGTGGTGGAGTGCTGGACCATGCCCTGCTCTGCTGTAAACCTCACGCACCCCTGGCTGGGGGCTGAGGGCTGGGAGCAGGGTCCTCCCTGGGCTCATCCCGCACAATATTTAGGGGACCAGAGCATCTCTGGACGCACAAGGAGGACACATCTCAGCCCAGAGCCCTGGCCAAAGACACAAGGAGGGAAAGGCTGCCGTAACAGGGAGGCAAGGGGGCCAAGTGAGGAAGGAGGGCTCTGGGCTGCTGCACTCTGCCTGCTGGAACAAGCTCCTGTGGGGAAGGGAGACCCACTCAGCGAGTCTGGCCCAATCCTATCAGGCAAACCTTCCCATCAGCACCCGAGACCATCTGCCCTCTTCCCCATCTAGAGCTGGGCCCCATCATAGAGGTTCCAGGGAAGAGGGGACTAGCTCACCCGGCGGTCAGGATCTCTCTGGCCATTCTCACATTATCAGGCCACAAGTGCCCCCATCTTAGTAACACACCCTCCCTTGTGGCCACAGCAGGACTAACACCTGACCCACCTTTGACAAGCGAAGGACTCCTCTTTCACATTAGTGACCCTGTTTCAAGAAAAATCCGTATGAGAGTTTTAAATAACTAGACAACATAATCCCCACCAACTACAGCTTCTGTATATTCAGTGCTCAGCTCTCTGGAGAGCCCAGGAAGGGACATGAGACCCCAGGAGCAACAGTTCCCAACTGGAACCTGCCTGTGTCCAAGGGTGTGGCTCTAACACAGGAAGCACGGCCAAGGTGGCTGGCGAGCCCCAGGCTGATGCCTGCACCGTGCGGGAACCAACGGCACCCCCAGATCTGACCAGGGCTTCTCCCCCCCCCCCCATTTGAGGTGTGAGATGCCCTCTTCCTCCACCCCCAGGAAGGATGGCCGAGGCTGGAACGTGGGAGGTGGGAGGCTCCCCCTGCTATCCTCACACCCCTAGATCCTCACCGCACTGGAGCTGGCATGGCTGAGCTTATCAAAGCGGAATTTCAGGTTTGACCTCGGGGAGTTTCTGCTTTTGACATCTAGGAAAAAGAAGAAAGCCCTTGAGAGGAGGTGGGGCTGCAGAGGTCACTGGGGCTCCAGGGGGGGCGCTGGATACGGAGGCCAGGAGAAGGGGGGGCCCCCTCTCCGCTAGGCACTTTAGCTGACCTGCACCGATTCATGAGAGCCAACTCTCAAATTTTCAGAAATGTTGTGAGCTGGTTGTTACACACAGTTATTTTTTTAAAATTATATAAGCTTACAATTAAACAAATTATATTCCCCAAAGGTAATAAATACTCAGAAGTTATCATTTCCTAGTTATTTCACTACATTTTACTATTATTTATTCTCCTAAGGTTATTTACGTCTATCATATCTGTCCGGTAGTTCTTCCCAACTCCATGTCACATTGGGCGCTTGAGATCAGCCTGGAGTATTCACACCAGAGAAATCAGCAAACGTTATAAATCAGAGCTTGAATAACTGTTTTCTTGTCTAGACTTAAGAAACTCATGGAGAAAACGTTAATAATATAGATCAGACTTGAAAATGTGTTTGTCTATAGCCATTACATTGTGAATGGCACAAAAAACTGAGAAAATACTCTTCCAGTATTTGAAAACTATTTTCTGATTCAGCAAAGAAGTTGCTCACATCACTGACAAAATAATATCAATCATCATTCATGTCGGAACTATACTTGTTCGTTATTTGGAACCTTACGGTGCCTACGGATACAAAGGTTGGGCAAATATTAGTAAAGGTGCTTTGTGAGAATCAGTTGGCTCTGTCGATTTATAGTAAAGAATATTGTATATTTCGTTCCAGCTTATCCTTCCCCCCTCCCTGTGTCCTCAAGTCCATTCTCTACATCTGCGTCATTATTCCTATCCTGCCCCTAGGTTCTTCAGAACCATTTTTTTTTTTTTTTAGATTCCATATATATGTGTTAGCATACGGTATTTGTTTTTCTCTTTCTGACTTACTTCACTCTGTATGACAGACTCTAGGTCCATCCACCTCACTACAAATAACTCAATTTCGCTTCCTTTTATGGCTGAGTAATATTCCATTGTGTATACGTGCCACATCTTCTTTATCCATTCATCTGTCGATGGACGTTTGTTATAAAGCAGAAACACACCATTGTAAAGTAATTATACTCCAATAAAGATGTTAAAAAAAGAATATTGTATATTTTATCATTATTTATAAATTGTGTGCTTCAGATCCTTTATATCAGTAAAATTTACAGTAAACACATACGTGTGTGCGTGCGTGTGTGTGCGTGCGTGCGTGTGCGTGCGTGCGTGTGTGTTGTGTGTATGTGTATGGTGGGAGAGCCGGTTGTTAAACATTTACCAGCATACCACTGGCTGGGGGGCCCCTTGGCTTTCTGATTTTCCTCCGGCTGAGAGAATCTACAGCTCAGTACACTCCACCTGGAGGCTGCTGATTTAGTCTTGACGCTTCATATTCAAGGGTTCCACTCAGCACTAGGATTTCCTCTCGGTGTGACCCACCAGCCCCCCTCAGGGCCCCAGGGAGCCCAGGTGTGAAATGACCAATGACCAGGGCATCGGAGATTATGGAGGATCAGATGTCAGGCCCTCCCAGCCATCTCCCTCTCCTTGGCCCTGTCTCTCCCCCTAAAACAGGTTTCCAGATCTCCGCAAACCCACCCTGGTCCTGCAGGTACAAAGCATAACTCCTGTGGGGCTGGGGGTAAGAGGCAGCTCCTCAGGGTTAAATACTCCATAGGAGGTGGGGTCGCAATAAGCACTGGGCAGGTGTTACAGACCCGTTGTAGGTCCCCTTCTGCCCTGGGTGACCTTCAGCAAGTCATACTCTAAACCTCCTTTTACTTGAAACATTATTTATTTTGATATTTATTTAATACCAATTCAGAGCCAGGCTTGATTATAGATTCTTTCATTCTTTCAATATTTAATTAAGCCTTGTTAAAAAAAAAAAACAACCAGGGAATTTGTATTACTACCCCACTTTACAGATGAGGAAACTGAGGTTCAGAGAGGTGGGGCTGCCAATGGTGCACCAGGATTAGAACCCAGCTCCACAGCTGACCAGCCACGGGGAGGTTGCCGTACTACACAAGCAATTGTTTGCTTGTGAACCAGGCCTTCCCCTTACCCCCAATATCACATGTCGCCTTTTGCCAACATTCCTTCACCATGAGAACCCCAGAAGCACTGTGGCTTAAACCACCCTGTGGGCCCACTGGCCCTGTGTTTCTATTATTTCGATTAGAGCTCCTCAACCTCAGCCTGACATTTTGGGCCAGGTAATCCTTTGTCGTGGGGACTGCCCTGTGCACTGTAGGATGCTTAGCAGCATCCCTGACCTCTGCCCACTAGATGCCAGCAGCACCCTCCCTTCCCCCAATCATGCAAATCAAAAATCCTCCAGACACTGCCAAACATGCCCTGGGGAGCAACGTCGCCCCAGTTAAGAACCACTGATCGCACTACTGTTTTATTCTCGTTGTTTAACAAATACTTAGGTTAACAGTTCTAAGTCTCTTATAAGTTTCTCTTTTACTCTTCACACAACCAACCATACGAGGTAGAAACTAGTCCCCTCCCTCCATTTTTCACTTGGGGAAACTGAGGCACAGAAAGACTCAGTAACCTGCCCATTGGCTCATCACTAGTAAGTGGAAGATCCAGGATTTGGACCCAGGCTCCAGAGTCCTGCCCCACACTATGCTGCCCTCCTCGAGGGCAGGACCAAGGCTCTGATTTCCAGGCACCCCCAACACCCAGTGGTGCCTACAGCACATGTCCGCTTGGATGTCCCTCAGGCTCCAACCCCTCGCCCTCTCCCCAGAGCTGGCTCCGCCTTCTCTGCCCGACTGCAGGGATCACAGAACCCTGAAAGGCCCGGACCCCTTGCCTTCCTTGAGCCCCCACTAGTGAGCCTGTACATCCCTCGAATCCACATCCTCCTACCATTGCCCCAGACAGCCCCCCAGATCCATGGCCCCGTCACCCCTCACCAGCCACTGTGGCCCCTCCCTTCCTGTGCCCACTCCCCAGCAATCCTTTCTGTTCAGCCAGCTGCAGCCGCCAAAACGGTCTCTCTCCTTCGGATGGCGCTTCTATACTTAAAGGACCTTCAAAGACTGAAAGCCCTCCAACGGCTTCCACTGCTGGCAGGATAATGCAAAATGCTCACCAGGGTCCCCGTGGCAGCCCCAGCCTGTGGTCCTAACCACTGTCTCCTCTCTCACGTGTCCCCTCCGTGCACTCCAGCCGCACTGAACCACGTGCGGGTCCAGAACACAGTCTCTGGATTCCCCCCAGGTCTTTCTACTGCTGTTCTGTCCACCTGCAACACTCTTCCCACCTCTTATCTCTGTATTATCAGGATGGTCGCTGTGACAAAGGGGCCCTGGGTCGGTGATGGGGTGAGGCGAGAGGTCAGGGAAA